GGGTGGCTAGCCCGCGGTCGGTACCTGCCGTAATAAGGGTCGGCTTAGCGGCGGTCGGTGACCTGTGTATATGAGGGTCGCTTAGCGGGCGGTCCGGACCTGCGTATAAGGGTCGCTTAGCACGGTCGGGACGCTGGTATATAAGGGTTTTCGCTCAGCCTGCGGTGCGGACCTGTTGTAATAAAGGGTCGGGCCTAGTCACAGGTCGGACCTGTGATAATAAGGGTCGGCTTAGGCACGGTCGACGCTGTGTTAATGAAAGGAGTTCGCGCAGCGCGGTCGAGCGACCTGCGTTATAAGGGTCGCTCGGCAGTGCGGCGGTGCGGACCTGCGTATTAAGGGTCGCCGCGCAGCGCGGTCGGACTTGCGTATAAGGGTCACCGGCAGCGGGGCGGTCAGACGGCTGCGTATAAGGGTCACGCAGCGCGGGTTCAGACCTTGCACAATAAGGTGCGCGCAGTGAGTCGGACGGCTGCGTAGTAAGGGTCACGGGGCAGCGCCGGTCAGACTTGCACATAGGGTCGCGCAGTTGAAGGTCGGAGACGCTGCGTATATCAGGGTCGTGCAGGTCGGCGGGTGGACCTGGACGTATAAGGGTCGGTGCTTGAAGTGGACATGAGAAAGCGCATTTTTATAGACGGGTGTCTATTTGCGGCGGTGGCCTATGCTTAGGAGCTGAGCTGAATGCGAAAATCGATGTTCCACTTGAGAGCATACAGCAAACTCTTGTGTAGCCGATACCTCGATGGAATGGACAAGGGCCGCGCCGCGCGCGCCGGGACTTTAGGCGGCCCGCGCCGGGCCCTGTCTAATAAGAAACAAAAAAAAAAAGAAAAAAAAAGGGCAGCTTTCAAGGTTGCCTTGAGTGGTGCTTAACGTACAAACTTGACTGTATTTAAAAAATGCTTTCGACTCTAGGAAATGGGGTCTGCCCTGGGTTACACATAGGCTAAATTTATTTTTAACTTTACTATTAATCAAATAAATGCTTGAATACTGTTATATTCAAAGCGCATTATTGGCAGTGGCACGATGTACGTTTGGTTGAAAACATTTTCTGCAGAGATACTACCGTAATGCCGTTAGTGTGTGGCGAAGTTGTAGTAGAGTATATTCGTTCTATCATTCAATCATCAATCATCATCTTCGTTATAGGTCGCATCTTTTCCGCTGCCTGGTTGGACTTGCAATGATCGATCCTCCCGCCGTTCTCTGTTCCTCTGCCTGTTGAATCGCTTACATCTATATTCAAGTCCTTCAGATCTTTCCTGCACTGTCCCTATACCATGTTCTCTTTGGTCTGTCCAAGCCGGTCTTATTCCAGGGATGCTCTTAATTCTTACGCACCAAAACCTCAGTAACTCCTCCTTCCGTGCTCCCTTCTAACATGCCGCAAACCATTGTAGTTCTTCTCTGTCTTTCTCTTTTCTAGTCATAGCGTCTATATAGCGATGATAAATAGCATAGAATCGAGCAACATCAAAATTATGTATAATAAACTAGACAGTGAGGGTTGAATGTTTCAGGGCGAGAATGCCGATGTTTCCAATCGCTCGTAAACAGGGGGGGGGCGGGGGGGTCTGCAGGGGCGATCGATTGTTGCACAGAGTGGTCCACGAGTAGGGCTGGCTGCGTCTCCGTGGTTCGGAGTCCTTGTTCGAGAAATGTAGACTTGGGCGAAACTCGATGAGGTCAGTCTACACCTGTCCTTTCCTCTCTCTCTCTCCTCTCATCTATCTCTCTCTCTCTCTATATATACATATAATATGTACGGGGTATATAACATGTAATAATCAAGAGCATATAAGACAAGGAGCGTACAAAGCGGTAAAATGCACTGAAACGTGCATGTGTTGCGTAATTAGTCTAATAAAAAGGAAACGCATTATATAAACTTTCCGCGTCGTGTTATTTGACGTAGCGTAGTGTGCGTATGTGCATCGTAAGGGACCAATGCGGTTTGTTTTATATGAACAAGTAGGAAAAGCCTGAATCACTAATACTGGGCGAAAGAATGCGTCAAATAAGCACTGGGCAAAGTTTATTAATTCGACTAATACTGGTCAACATGGTTTTCAGGGCATTTTACCGTTTACAACCACTCTCCTTACTTAATATTGCTGCTTGATTAGTATATATATTATATATTATGAGTATATATGATAGCATGTATTATCACGTATATATATATATTATATATAGTATATATATATACACCATGTATAATATATAACGTACATAGTATATATTATATATATATAGTATATATATTATATATATATAATAATATATCTATATATATATATATATATATATAGGCTTATGTTTGATAACTGTTAGTTCACACAATGTTGATAACTGGTGGCAGATTGCTGGTATATGCTGCCACGATGAAATATTATTCCAGGGTAAAATCTCGGAGATTGTTGTGAGATCCATCTGTCGGTGACAGAGATGTCGGAGGTGTTTCTAGCGCGGAACTACGCCGGCGTTACTACACGACGCCCACCAGCTACCTGGAGCCTAATCAACGTCTACCTGACCATGCTCAACGACAAAGAAGAAGTACGCGTCTCACAAATTAATCATGCAATAGTTTTAGTTAATTAAACTAAACCAAATTAAAATTATGTGTATTAATTTGAATAATTTAATAACATTAAGTAAATAATTAGAAATAAAATAAATAATTAAGTAAACGAAGTATCATGCAATTAGTTTAATTAATTACTATATTTAATTAACTAAAATGCAACTCATCTAGAGTGTCTGTACTTTCGTTAAAGTCGAGGCTCTTTTCAACTGAATGCTAATCTTACCATGCAGGCTTACTAATAGGGGAAAGGCAATAGAGAGAAAGAGAGAGAGAGAGAGAGAGAGAGAGAGAGAGAGAGAGAGAGAGAGAGAGAGAGTTCTAACGAAAGGGAGAGTAGTTTCATCCCTCGAAGAAGAGAGTACCTCTATCTAACGAGTAGCGACTTCATCCTAGGTTTGCTCACTATGCCCTCCCACCGTGCTCTCACCGTATGCTCACTATTCCTTGTCTGCTCTGCAGCGGAGGTTTGTTGATCACTGTCACCGGTAACAACCTGGACTGTGCGGCCCGACCCCTAATGACCTTCAACTTCTGTCCCGTGGTGAGGTCACGCCGGGCAGTGAACATCACCGTCTGTGATTATGAGCAGGTGAGTACGAAATATACGACGTAGCTAGTCTGGAACTAACGGACAGCTACAGCGCACTGCGTGAGATGAGGCTGAGGTAGCTTTAGAAGATGTTTTTGTCGGCCAAAATTACCAAAACATAACATACAGACAGCAAATTTGATGTGGGAGAGCGCGCGTGTTCACATGTCACCATCGTTCGTCTGTCATGCAGGAGTGTCGCAGTTCCAAGGACGGCCGGACCCTCGAGTGCCTCTCGCCGAACGTTGCCGACCTTGACCTCGTGGTGACCCCCAAGGACCCATATCCGGTCTTAGCCATTCTCGTCATGGATGGGGTGAGGTCATACACTCGGTCACCCTGCGCAACAACAGTAGCAACCGATTCTGTGTCGGGATTTAGTATTACTGAGGGAGAACGACAGAGGAAAATGAGAGAGAAAGGAAAGGGAGGAGTATGTGGAGTGAGAGAGAAAGTGAGAGAGAGAGAGAGATAAATGGAGAGAGGGAGCAAGAGAGAGAGAGAGGGGGGAAGCGAGAGGGAGAGCGAGAGAGAGAGCGACAGGGAGAAGGAGAGAGCGAAAGAGAGAAAAGAAAGAGATTGTGAGAAAGAGAGAGAGCGAAAGAGAGAGAGAGAGAGAGAGAGAGAGAGGCAGACGGTTTAAGAGAGATCGACTGACAGAAAGAGGAAGAGAGAGCGGGCGAGGAAGAGAGTTAGCTGATCGTTGGCTCATCGCGTATCCACGTTCCACGTTCTTCATCTTCTACCACCACTATTCTCTACATGCGGATTACATGCAGAGAGATGCGCTGTATGGCTTCAGTACCCTGTTCCTCTTCTAGTCGTCCTTTCTTTCCAGGTGAAGCAGGATCAGATGTTCGAACCGGATGCCGGATATCTGCGCCGCTTCCAGTACTACCCGGATCCCGTCTTCCTGCCGCTCTCTCCCGTGGAGGGAAACGCGACAGAGAATGTCACCTATCTGTTGAGTTATCAAGCTGAGCAACTGACCATATATGTATGTGTGCCCCGTACGCGGCTGGAGCAGCGAAAACAACAACAACAACAATAACAACAACAACAACAACAACAACAACAACAATAACAATAACAACAACAATAATTATAATACCAATGATTACGATAATTGATGATGATAATATTTATATTATAATATTCGTAGTAATATGCGTAATAATAATGACAAAATAGTAATAGTAATAATAATAATAATAATAATATTATAAATAACAATAATAATAATAATAATAACAAATACAACAGCAACAACAGACAAACAGCCGCCGTAGAAACATTGCTAAAACCGACTAACATACTGTCTTTCACCCACACACCCTCCCTCCATTACGCTGCACTTTTGTTTTCCCCGACAGGGAGAGAACCTCTTGGCTGCAGGCGATTTTAGCGCCATCGTTGTCGACCTAGGACTCAACGACACGTGCGCGGTCGTCGGCCTGTCGGCTACTAGCGTCACGTGCGTGCTGCCGGTCGACAGAGAGACGGACGAGCCGTACACAGTTACCGTGAGTCTCCCGCGCTATTGTCCCGTTGATCGCATGCGCCCCCTGGTGGTCGTGTGTGCTAGTATTAGAAGCAGTTACCTCTATGAAGTATCGACTTGTTTATCAGGTCAGAAGGATAATGACTCATATTATTATTATTATTATTATTATTAAAATTTAATCATAGCATGAGCCAGCAGCTTCTGGGTTGACCGTACGCGTGTCCCAACCCTAGGTTTATTGGGGTTCCTTCCCATAGGAATTATTATAATAATTATTGTTGTTATTGTTATTATTATTGTTATCATGATTATCATTATTATTCTGGATAATATACATGACTAGAAGGAATGTGTAGTTCCTGAACTTTCTCTTCTTCCTGCGAGAAAACGCGAAGCTGATTGGCCAACCTGTCTGTCGTCTGCTCGCGCAGGTCTCCGTCGGCAACATCGACACCGTCGTCGGCAACCTCGTGCTCTCGTCGCAGCTCACGACGCCGACGTCGACACTGGCGCCACCTACGACCAACGCGTTAATAGAGCGCTCTAGTGGCGACGTAGCGCTGTACGTGCTGGGGACGCTGCTAGCGCTGGCTGTGCCTGTGATCGCTATATTCCTTATAATGCGCAAGGTACGAACAGAAGGTAGTCTTCGGCGTAGTAACGACGGTCACTTCTTATACAGATGCTCACTCGGGCATCCCACCATCTTCTCTCCCTTTTTTTCTCTATCTCTTTCTCTCTCCCTCTCGCTCTCTTTCTCTATCTCTTTTTTTTGCCCTTTCGCTCTCTCTCTCTCTTTCTCTCACTCTCTCGTTGTCTCTCAGGCTCTCCTTTTCGCAGATTCTATATCTCACGCTATCTCTCTGTCTAGCCCTCGCTCTCTCGCTCCCTCGATTCCCAGCTGTCTCGCAACTGCCCTCTCCGGTCTCCTCCTGTGTCTTACCTCTGTCTTCTGTATACCTTCGCAGCGCCGCATCGGACCCTTCCGCAAGGAGACCAACGCTCGCGTCTTCTACACCCCTCACCCGGGCGCCTCGCAGCCGTACGACACGGCCCCTGGCGAGGCGGCAGCTATCCTGGACCTCGACGACGAGCTGCGCTTCATGCTGGAGACTGCCGACGTTCTGATTGCCAGGGAAAAGCTCATCCTCGGCGAAGTGCTGGGATCGGGTAAGAAAGACGCGGAGGAAGAGAGAGGAAGAAGCTGTGGGGAAGAAGAGAGCTGTGGGGTGAGGGGGGAGGGGGAAGATCTGAGATTAGGGAAAGTTTGTCTGAGGAACATGGTGCGATTGGGTGAGAAGGAAACCGAGAAAGAGAGAAGAAGAAGCTGTGGGGGAAAAAGGAAGCCAATGGGAAAGAGAGAGAGCGAAGCTGTGTGGGGAGGTTCTGAAATCAAGGAAAGCTCATTCGGAAATGAAGAAGCTTTGTGCGGGTCGTAGATAATGAGAAACTCTCCCATAATAGAAATAACAGAAATATGTGATTAATTACCAACGGGAATTACAATTGGCGATGAGTCATCGATCAACTTACAGATTGTTCTTGGATTCACTTTCAGGTCATTTCGGCTGCGTGTACAAAGGTCATTTTGTCAAGGACAAGATGGATATTATTGACGTCGCCATAAAGACGTTGAACCGTGAGTGCCACCTACCTGCCATCCATGCGATTCGCACGCCACCTTCCTTCGCTCCTCCTTTTCGGTCTAACCCTCTGTCCTCCGTCGAGCCCACTAGGACTAGGGGTCTACTCCCCCTCTCCTTAGTCTAACCTTCTTTTCTCGGTCTAACCCTCCCTCTTTCTTCTAACCCTCTCTCCTCGGTCAACCCTCCATCCTCAGTCTAACCCTCCTTTATCGGTACACTCCCCACCCCACTCGGTCTACTCCCACACTCGGTCTAACCCGAACCTCCGTCTGTTTCCTCTTGGCAGGAGTCCAGGATCAAGACACGCGCGCCTTCTTTAAGGAAGGGCTCATCATGAAGGACTTTAAGCACGAGAACGTCGTGCCACTGATAGGCATTTGCCTGCCTAGCGGTACTGACGGACCGATGGTAGTACTGCCTTACATGCAGAACGGAGACCTGCTCTCCTACATACGCGACGAGAACAATGTGAGTGCCGCCAGCGCCATCTATCGGCCGGAAACATTGGATATTGACGATCTGTTGAGGATAGGTTTAGATTTCCTTTTAGAGAGAAGGGTAGTCTATGATATTGAGATTTACTACTTTCTAGGGGTGGGGTCCATTTTATTGTAGGCTTTCTCGGTGTGTAGGTTGAGAACTAAAGAGTTTGTAGAGATTAAAAGCAATGCTCTTAACTGCAGAAGCGTTCGGACGTTTCCTTACGCCGATACGTGCGGCAGCTTCGCGTTCTACTATAGAAGGTTTCCGCTTCGTATGGGGAAGTTTCAGCTCTGACTTTGCACACCCTTAGCGAAAACATTTTAAACATGAGAATGCGATTGAGCCTTGGCAGTCAGATTCGCAAACGATGACGGGGTAGAGAGAGAGAGAGAGAGAGAGAGAGAGAGAGAGAGAGAGAGAGAGAGAGAAAGAGAGAGAGAGAGAGTGTGTGTGTGACTGCAGTACGTTATTTGTATAAGGGGTTTGAGAGCACTCACGTTTTATTTGGAAATAGATTGAAATCATAAAGGCTTTTACGCGCATGCAGAATTTAGGCGTGTCTGACAAGTGATTGATACGTGATTGATTTCTGTCTGACGCGTAATTGATGCCTGATTGATTCGCGTCTGACACGTGATTGATATGTGATTGACACGTGTTTTACACGTGATTTACACGTGATTTACATGTGATTTACACGTGATATTTACTGCCTCTTGTTTATTTGGCAGACGCCTACCGTGAGAATCTTGCTCAGGTTCAGTCTGCAGATAGCCGACGGCATGAAGTACTTGTCTGAACTGAAGTTCGTACACCGGGACCTCGCAGCGAGGAACTGCATGTAAGCGACGCCAGCGCCACCGCCGCGCCACCAGCTGCAGTCTTATAGTAGCTTCGGCATAACTGCGGCCGTCCCACAGCGTGTTGAGTGATTCTAGAGAGAGCTCCACGTTGCCATCCTTCGTTGTGGGTTGGGCCTTAGTCCGAAAGTGCTAACAAAATAAGTGGATTGGCACCAGAGAAAGCGAAAGAAAGAAAAAAAGAAAAAAAGAAAGGGAGATAGATAGATATATATATATAGAGAGAGAGAGAGAGAGAGAGAGAGAAAGAGAGGAGCGGGGGAGAGAGAGAGAGAGAGAGAGAGAGAGAGAGAGAGAGAGA